TAGGGTGCCTTAGTGACCCATAGGGATCCATAGGGTGCAATGGGGACCCATAGAGTGCCATAGGGACCCATTAGGATCCATAGGGTGCCAGGGGAACATAGGGTTCCACGGGGACCCACAGGGTGCTATGGGGACTCATTAGAATCCATAGGGTGCCTTAGGAACCCATGAGGATATATAGGGTGCCACCGGGACACACAGTGTGCCTTAGGGACTCATTAGGATTTGTAGGGTGCCTTAGGGACTCATTAGGATCCATTGGGTGCCATGAGGACCCATAGGGTGTTTTAGGGACCCATTAGGATCTGTAGGGTGCCATGGGAACCCCTAGGGTGCCAGAGGGACCCACTAGAATTTTAGGGTGGCATTGTGTCACATAGCGTGTTTTAGGGACCCGTTAGGATCGATAGGGTACCACAAGGACCCGTAGAGTGCCTGAGAGACTTGTTAGGATCCATAGGGTGCCTCAGAAACTCATTAGGATCCATGGGGTGCAATGAAGACCCATAGGGTGCCTTAGGCACACACTAGGATCCATAGGGTGCCAGGGGGACTCATAGCATGCCTTATAGACCATTAGGATCCATAGGTTGCCATAGGGACCCACAGAGTGCCATAGGGACCCATTAGAATCCATAGGGTGCTATGTGGACTCATAGGGTGCCTTAGGGACCCGTTAGGATGCATAGGGTTCCACGGGGACACACAGAGTGCCTTAGGGAGCCATTAGGATCCATAGGGTGCCATGGGGACCCATCGGGTTCCTTAAGGACCCATTAGGATCCATAGGGTGCCACGGGGACCCATGAGGGACCCTCAGGGTGCCTTAGGGACCCATTAGGATCCATAGGGTGACTTGGGGACCCATCGGGTTCAATAAGGACCCATTAGGATCCATAGGGTGCCATGGGCACCCATAGGGTGTCTTAGGGGCCCATTAGGACCCACAGGGTGCCACTGAGACCCTCAGGGTGCCTTACGGACCCATTAGGATCTATAGGGTGCCATGAAGATTCCTAGGGTGCCTGAGGGACCCACTAGCATTTTAGGGTGCCATGGGGACCTATAGGGAGCTTTAGAGACCCATTACGATCTATAGAATGCCATGGGGTCCCATTAGGATGAATAGGGTGCCAGGGGGACCCATTCGGATCCATAGGGTGCCAGGGGGATCCATCGGGTGCCTTAGGGACCTATTAGGATCCATAGGGTGCCATGGGGACACGTAGAGTGCCTTAGGGAGCCATTAGTATCTGTACGGTGCCTTGGGGATTCACAGGGTGCCTTAGGACCCAGGAGGATCCATAGGATGCCACGAAGACCCGTAGGGTGCCTTAGGGACCCATTAGGATCCATAGAGTGCCATGGGGACCCATTAGGATCCATAGGGTGCTTTTGGGACCCATTAGGACCCATAGGGTGCCATTCGGACCCATAGTGTGCCTTAGGGACCAACTATGATCCATAGGGGTCTATGGGGACCCATTAGGATCCATAGGGTGCCAAGGGAACATATTAGGATCTATCGGGTGCCTTAGGGATCCATCAGGATCCATAGGATGCTATGGGGAACCATTAGGATCCATAGGGTGCCTTAGGGAACCATAGGGTGCCTTAGGGACCTATTAGGATCCATAGGGTGTCATGGGCACCAATCGAGTGCCTTAAGGAACCATTAGGATTCATAGGGTGCCAGGGGGATCTGTAGGGTGCCTTAGGGACCCATTAGGATCCATAGGGTGCCAGCGGGACCCATAGGGTGCCAGCGGGACCCGTTAGGATCCATAGAGTGCCATGGGGACCCCTAGGGTGCCTGAGAGACCCACTAGAATTTTAGGGTGGCATTGGGACCATTAGGAGTCATAGAGTGCCATGGAAACATATAGGGTGCCTTAGGGATCCATTAGAATCCATAGGGTGCTATGGGGACCCATAGGATGCCTTAGGGACCTGTTAGGATGCATAGGGTTCCACGGGGACACACAGAGTCCCTTAGGGAGCCATTAGAATCCATTGGGTGCCATGGGGACCCATCGGGTGCCTTAGGGACCCTTTAGGATCCATAGGGTGCCACAAAGACAAGTAGAGTATCTGAGGGACCCGTTAGGACCCATAAGGTGCCATGGGGACCCATAGGGCCTAAAGCCAGAGGCAGTGGCCGGCACTTTCCCTGGGCACAGCTGTGCCTTCCTGTTGCTTTCTGCTGATTCCCATAGGCCTCCACTGACCGCTCTGAGGCCATGCTGCTCCTTACTGGTTTTCACTTGGCCATGCTGCACGTTTCTGGTCCGTACTGCTGGGCACTCCTCCCAGCTCCTACTTGTTCCTCTGGGACCCCGCTGACCACTACGAGGCCATACTGCGTTTTTACTGGGCTGCACAAGGGTCATCTTCACTTCTCTGTTGCTTTACTTCAATTAAGCCCCATTCCATGAACCCCATTCACCCCATAGGTGAGTCTCCTGTTTCCTACACTTTGGATCTGGGAGGTGACCACTCCTTTGCCTATGATGCAAGCGCAGCGGTGATGCAGGCACTCGCTGAGGTCACAGTGGTGGCCGGGCTGGGAGCGTTTGTGGCCCAGCTGGGAGCAGAGCTGGTGGTCTGGTGAGCGTGGTGCACACGCAGACTGAGCTCTGTGCTTTCCTTGAGAGATCTTCCTTGAGAGCCCGCTGGGAGCAGCGCTGCGGCGTGTGCGTCAGCTGGGCACCGCTCCGGCTGGGCAGTGACCAGGTGAGCTGGGTTGGTGCCGGCTGGGTGCCGGGAGGTGTCTCAGCAGAAAAGCTGGGCTGGGGAGCAGTTGCCAGCTCCGGCGGTGCCCCTCAGCACGGCTGTTTGCAGGGGAAATGGTTCTTGTTCAGCTTCCATCCCACGTTTCAGTGAGGATGATGAGATGTCCTTCCTCCCCTGGAAATTCACGGCTGAGCCCCACCTTCACGTCGCACATTGAAAAGCAGGGAGAGCACAAGCTTCTCAGAGCACAGCTCGTACCTCCTGCCCCACGGGGGGCTGGGTGCAGAGCTGTTGAGGAGATGGAGTAGGGCGCTTGCTGGCACAAGCCGTGGCAGTCAGACCCAAACTGGACCTGGTGGCAGGCAGCTCTGGCAGCCAGCTGACGTCCAGACGCTGCCCTCCTCGAGAGACGCAGAAGAAAGCTGGGAAGATGCTTCTTCCTCCTGATGGTTCACTGGTGGATCCTTTCTGCAGGGTTCCTGTCCAAAAGGAGATTTTGAGAGACCGAGGCAATCAAAGACAGAGGGAAGCAGCTCGATCCAAGAGCAGAGAAGTTCCTGCGCGCAGCCCTCGGAACTTCAGCTTCCCCAGAGACAGCGGCCATGTCTCAGGCAGGGGACGACCGCCGTTCCGCTTCCTGCTCTGGGAGAGGAAAGGTACGGCTGGGTTTCCTCGGCTTGGCTCTTCTTCCTTTTTCTCATGTTGAAAGGAACGGCTGGAGCAGGGGGAGCCCTGCAGGTCCTTTGGGACCTCAGGAACCAGTTGGATGCTGCGCGCGCTGCTGATGGCATGGGCATGGCTCAGGCCGTATTTTCCCTTAGTGATCAAGAACGTGTCAGCACTCTGCCGTCCCACCTCTGGCCCGACCTGGAAGCTGTCTGCAAACCTTGGCTGCCCGTTCCCTCCAACGTTTCTTCTTTCTCTCCTCAGAAGCAGCGCGGCGCGGTTCCCCGCGTTGGGGAGCAGCAGCCAGCAGGCTGCCAGAGATCCCACGGCGCCTGGCAGCGCACAGAGGGACGCGATGGGGACGGGCCGTCCTCACTGCCGCGCAAAAGTGAGTTTCTGCAGTCCTCTGTCGTGAAGGATGGAGGGATGAATGTGGAGTGTGACTTCTGAGCGGGTGCAGTGCTGTAGGGATGTCCAGTAACCACGGTGGAAGCATGAGAAAGGCCGACAGCGACAGCCGATGGCAGCAGCGAGACAGAAGTCTGTGTGCAAGTGGTGCCGCTCAGAGCTGAGCGCATTCCCTCCAGGGACAAGAGATCCGTGTCTCGACATTTGCACCCGGTAGCGTTTTGTTTGCTGGTGCAGCTTTGCTCTGCAGAATGCAGAGCTGTCAGGCAGTCCGGGGTTCCTCTGCTGCCATCTGACAGGAAGGAGAGCAGTAGTGCTTTGTGTAAGCGCAGTGCAGTTTGAACATCAGTTTCTGCTCTGGCTGTAGAACAGCGTCTTTTGGATTTGGGGGGGGTGTGGGCTGACAGGACAGCGCTGCTCCTGGTGTCTGTGCAGCCACACTGGATCTGTTGTTGCAGGGACGGAGCCTGCGCGTCCGTGGGATGGTGCTGGGCACGGGGGGAAGAAGCGGAAAGCCTCCGCAGGTAAGGAGCTGCTGTGAGCTGTGCTGTGGGTGCTGCCTCTAAGCAGGGCTGCGTGCAGGGCTGTGTGTGATGGAGGAGAGAGGAAAGGGCGCTGCAGATCTGTGCTGACTGCACAAGTGGCACAAGGCTGTAGCAGTGGAAAGGAAATTGAAGAAACTGCGCTTGAAGAGCAGCAGTTTGTGTCTGACTGTGCCCAAGTCTTCCTCCAAGGAGCTGCTCTTCATGTCTTTCCTGCTTTCTTTCTGTCAGAAGCTGATGCCAGCTTCCCTCTGAAGCGCAGCCATGCGGAAAGGCAGGGCAGGAGCACAGAATGGGACGTGGCACCCAAGAGAGGTACAGACACCCAGCAGGCATCGGGGCTTGGTGCACTGCCTTTCTAATCAGGCTTTCTGCCTGTTCTTTCCTGGGACTGTTGTCACTGTGTGCTGGTTGTGGTCATAACCACAGTGAGCATTCCTGCACTGATTAGAAATGGGAGCCCACAGTTCACCTGAGATCCCAAGCTCCGTGACTGTGAACACTCCAGATGAGATGTCCCAGCATCGCGGCCCATTCTGCAGACTGAAAGCAGCAGTGAGCCCTGGTTCAATCTCGTTGCTTCTTGTCTTTTCACAGAGGTGGGTGCTGAGCCAAACGGCCATCTCCACGTGAAGGTGGTGCAGCAGGGGCGTTCCGAGAGAGCTTGTCTCCCTGAGAGAGCTCCAGCTCCTCTCCAGGCTGGAGGGCTTCCTGGCAGAGCAGGTCCCAGCACAGGGGGAAGAGCTTCCCCTGCCGCGTGCCCCCGCTCCGTCTGCAAGGCCCAGGCTGGATGCAAACGCAAGGCCTTGGAGGAAGGGACACCAGCAGCAGCGCAGCTGCCTGCCCACAAGAGAGCAAGGGCTGAGAGCGGAGGCAGCGTGCCGGCTCCAGCAGCGCAGCCTGGGCCTGCCGCAGCGCGGAGCTCCGGGCGCAGAGGTGAGCAGGGCTGTGTACCGCTGTGCTGAGCTGCTGCCCTTTGCCAGCACGCTGAGTTTGCTCAGGCTCTGCTTTGCCTTTTCCTTTTGTGTCGAGGGGAAATGGGTTGAAGGCTGCCAAGTCTGAAGGCAGCCAGGTGCCAGAATGTGCAACCCCATCTCTTTAACTGCATGGTGGTCTTCTGCACGTCCCACTGGAAATGTCATTCACTGGGGGGTTCCTCGTCCAATTTCCTTTGTCTTTTTTCTGCCGTCTGCTTTTATGGTACCCACGTTTCTGCAGTTTTGCTGTTGACAAAAGAAATTCCTCTTTTGTCTTGCCTGATAGCAAGAAGACAACGACAGAAACAGAGGAGAGCAGAACTGAAGAAGGCTTCTCTGAGAGCCGCAGCTGCACGTGCAGAGGTGAGTCCTCGGTGAGCACAGACGCGGCTCTTGTTGTTGTCAGGGCCTCCGTCTGTCAGACATGGAAGAGATTTCCCAAGGGAAGCGCTGTCCTGTTTCTACACTCGCTCTGTTTCTTTCCAGTCCTCCGCCATGAACAGCCTGGTGGAGATGATGCAGAAGCTGCAGCTGCACGACTGAGAGGAGGAGCATCAGCAGGCAGCGCTGCAGTGCGCGGCGTTGCAGGGCAGCGCTCCGAGTGCCGCCCAACTCGGCACTCCAACTTTGGTTGTAGTCAATAAAAACATGGCATGCTAACTCAGAGAACGATGCCGTAGAGATTGCTGAGTTTCCCAGGGCAGCGCTGAGTACTTTTTGCTTTATGCTGAGTGTACAATGAGCCAAGTTCCCCAAAAGGACGGCGTTTCCTCTGGGCTGTTGGTCCAGAGCAGCATCTCTGCACTTAGCACCGCCACGCTGCCATCCCGGCACTGCTCTGCTCACAGACAGCGCTCCAGGTCGTGGCACTCAGAAGGTGCCCCTCTGTCGTGCAGCCCTCCCCAGCGCCTGCCTGCCTGTCCCTGTGTGGGCTGCGATGGAGCTTTTCCTTGGCAACGCCTGGTGTGACGCCGTGTCCTGGGTCCGTCGGTGCCATCCTGCAGGCTGCTGTGCACAGCGCAGTGCTGCGGAGCTGTGCTTCCCGGCCCTGTGCTCTCCGGCACTCTGGTGTGAGTTCTGCCTCTCCCAGGCATCTCCTGTTCCCAGGAACCTCCGCTGCTCCCTTGCACGCAGAGCTGTGTGCACAGCCCTGTGCAGAACCGCACACCCGCGTGCAAGGACTTCCCTGCACACACCGCTGTGCATCCACACGCACAAGCACATCCTCGCACGGCCCTGTGTGCACACTCCATCCGTGTGCACACAACCGTGTGCAAAACCACACAGCCTTGTGCAAAGACCTCGATGCACAGCCCCGTGTTGGCGCACACACACACCCGTGTGCAAACCCACCCCTTTGCACAGCAACACGCATGAAGGCATGAGCGCAGCTGCAGCCCTGCACACAGCCGTGCGCGCACACACACACACGTGCAAAAGTAACATTCACGTGCAAACACCCTGCACACACCCACGTGCAATGCACACTGATATGCAGCACCACCTCTAAGATGATCGGAGGGCTGGAGCACCTCTGCTATGAGGAAAGGCTGAGGGAGCTGGGCTTGTTTAGCTTGGAGAAGACAAGGCTCCAGGGAGACCTCATGGTGGCCTTGCAGTGCTTGAAGGAAGTGTATAAACAGGAGGGGGAACGGCTGTGTGTGAGGG